ATGACCATTCACATTTCACATTGAAGTCCTTTTCGTGAAGCACAAGTTGATAAAGTTCTTATAGTTCTTATATTGTCCTGCACAGCCATCGCTGAAATAATGCACCATACTCAGTGTTGTGAAAATCTCATCCTTAATACAATGAACAGTTTGTTGATGACTTCCATAAACAAAGCATGTATCATGATTCAAGTTATCTGAGATGAAACAAAGAGATTTCTCCATAAGTTTATTGTCTTTCATGTAATACAACACAATTGGATGGAGGGTGCACAACTGCTTGTTCCAATGAAATCCTTGGATTTCATCTTGAATTACGAATTGGTAATTCTCAGCAAAATCTCCCAAAACAATTACCTCGTTTTTTTTAGTTCTTCCTTACATTTTTTAAGATATTTTGCCTGTGTGCTTTAGCAATGTAGGAATGGGCTGTGAGGGTGTTAAGTTTCTCAACAAGGAGGGAGATAAAATCCTCAACTGGCATGATCTGCTGGACCAGCTCCAAGCAATCGACATTTGTCCACTGTTGAAACTGTATGGTGCATGGGTCATTCTCATCATCAATTTCAGGTTGAAGCTGCTCTAAAAGGTAGTTCTCCAAATCTTGAGTGTCAGGCGGGCAGTTGGGACAACGGTGAATCATACACTGCTTAGAATCTCTGCAGCATACCATCATGTTCATGAGCTCATGGTGATCCTTGTCAAAATTCACAGCACTCAGCATCAGAACAACATTTTGGTGAATTGTGCACACACAAACAGAATGAGTTCCTGAACAACCAACCAAAACACACCATTTTGGCCTCAAACTACAAAACTTTGAAAATCCTACTTTTATATCTGGATACTTCTCTTTGAATGCAGCATATAATTCTTTCAAGTCACAAAGGAGAAGGTGTTTCTGCTTGTGGACATTCCTTGCAATACTGACACAATCCTTTTTACCCAGCATAAGTCTACTGTATTCATCATCACAGTAGAAATCAGCAACACATCTTTTTGTTTCTTCTGATAAACCATTTCCTTTCTTTGGCCCTGGTAACTCCAGAATGCCCTTTTCTTTTACCAATTCCCTTGCTTACCTGACCATATAAGCAGAAACATTAAATTCATTTTTTGTTTTTTCAATCGACCACAAACATGGTGCAATGGTGAGCATTTGGATTTTCTGTTTTCGGTTACAAGACTGCACTTTGCTTTTCATTAGATCGACAAGACGATCTAAGTTGTCTGCTTTTTCCTTCAGTTGATCGTAATTGTCAGGTTGGCTGCTTTCTGATGGGTCTAGGTTTTCTGAAATAACACCAATTATTTTTGCAACTAGCTTTTGAGCGGTAGATTCTTGTTCTTTACGTTGATTTCGAAACTGTTGGAGTTTTCGTTTACCCAAAGTAACTTTGGAATGAGAAGGAACTCCATGTAACTTTATTGGGCTCAAATCCACCTCTTTAAAACTTGTGTCAAGCTCATGTCTGCTGACAGTCATTTCTTCTCTGTATATACAAGACATGGTTTCTTTATCACTTTTGTTATCTGTCTGTGAATCTGGTTCAACTGGACAGAGCTCATCCATCTTATTTATTGCAGCCTCCAATTTTCTAGTAAGTTCCTTGCGACAAGTTGGGCAGATCTTCTTCCCAGGAATGACAGATATGTTGATGCTATTAAAATCCTCAGCAATGTTCAGAGACACCTCCCGCAGTGAACCTTTGACTGGTTTTTGGTACTTATTAAATGGGTTGCAGCAGCTTTGATGGTATGAGTATCTTCTAAGAATTAACTGCTCATGATGGAGATCAAATTCCATGATCAGGGCTGGTTGAAATTCCTGTTCTCATTGATATCAATTCAACCTGCTCTGCTGTTCGATCTTAGGTCAGTTGACCAGGTATGAACAGTTAAGTGACACTCTTTTTCAACGTGATTTCCGATAGAACACTTCTTCAAGTTTTCTGTTGAAGACATTCTTTTTTGTAAGAGAAAATAGAGACTTGAGAGTAAACTAAATAGTGATTGTAAAGCAGAAAACGAGTAAAACACGTGTAATGAAGTTTTAGATTGTGAAACTTCGAACACTTGTGTCAGTGATTTGTATTTAATTGCGATATACTTCATGTATGAAAGTTATTGTGTACCAGCATACAGAAATTAAAAAACCATTGAAATATTACAAAAAAACAGAATTTTTGCCATATTCCAGCAGAATTTTCAGGAAATTTCAAAACTATCTTTGTTGGCAAATTTTTCAGCAAGTACAAGAGACACCAAGCCAAAACTTGGTGAAATTAATCCTCATTATATATTCATATACCACACCAAAAATGGGTTTGGTCCTACATTGCCAACATGGGTAATTTTTGGTTTGTAATTTGATCCTTTAATGGTTTCGGGATATATAAATACAATTGTTTAACATAGAAAATATGCATTTCTTTTCAAGTAATGATACTTTCTGATTCAGCATGTCTTAAAATGGTATATCACCAGTTTTCTTGTCTATACAGTTAAAAGGTAGAAAACGACAGTTGAAATACCATACATTTTTGTGTACCATTCATAAAGAATGCTATAACCAACACCGATATTGGTGGAAAATTGAAAAATCGATATCTCAGGAACAAATAAAGATATTGAGCTCAAATTTGGTGTGATTTCATATCTCACTTATACTTCCAATTGGTGCAATTTTGGTTAAAATCTGGAAAGGTTGGGTGACATGCATTTGTTGATTTCGTATGTGTTGTTTAAATTGGAGTCAAAACATCTACAAACAACAATATGGTGTTTATGTATTTCTAAAATATTTACGTTATCACCGTTATATTTAATTAATTTATAGGCTATTTAAGAGTTTAAACACATATATGTGCTGATAAAACCATTATACCTCAACATAGACTTCTTTTTATATTGTGTGAGTATAAAAGTAAAACAGTATCACTGACATTCACTGTTACCTCTTACAATGCAATTATCAAGGCTGAAAGGCTTACTTTTAAAATCTCGAAATGGCTTATTCAAAGCAGCCAAATAATATAGAGTAAGATAATTTGTTCTCTTTACAGCGTCTGTCAAAACCTTTACACCTCCAACTGCAAAAATAGTCAGTGACTGCTAAAATATATACATGGATTAAATTCCATGACGTGTAGATAAGGTTGTCTTCCTTTGATGCAAGAAATAGTATTTGTTAAAAAACCAATGAGTGTAAGATAGATCGTGTAGAGGAGCTATGTCGTCAGGGGTGTGCTCTGTACTTTGAAGTAGATTTTGATGGTGATTTTTACAATGTTGTTGCGCCTTGTTTTAATTAATTCTTTTACATATATGCCATGATTGACCGGTGCATTTGGAAGTATACTGAATCTGAAAAAATCACTTGCTTTTGCTTCATTGTTTGTCATAGGTATGTATAAGTATTTTGCAGAGCAACTAATTGGTTCCTTTCCTTCACCCCTCTACTAAAACCAAACAAAGTGCACACTCACTCTTTTAAACCACAGCTTTAAATCTCACCACAAGATGTTAGTTCAAATAAGTAATTTTTGATAGTCTATGCAATATTTATTTCATGCTTGTGTGAGGCAAATTTATACATATGTGTTTTTGATAATTTCTGACTCATGTAGAACAAGTATTGCCTGCAATGGACATGAAGGGCTATTATGACAAAGTTGCTTAAAGAAAGACAACTAAGCTTCATCTTATCTTACAGGTTTGTGACAAATTTAATTTTCATTGCTTTTATATAACTGCTAATTTATTCATGTAATACCTATGAACACAGTTGTACAAGATATAAAGCATAAAATAATTATGCATATGATTATATGTCGATCCGGCCTCCCAAATTGTTTACTCAAAATTTCAATTGAATCATCTTTCGTTCTGTGTAATTTGTAGCTTTCAAGAACTTACAAAATATTTATCATAAACGGAAAGTGCTGTGTGGCCATAGACCAACATGATGTTTAGGTAAGGTATTTCTATAAAGCATGAAGAAGTACGCACAAAAGCAGTAATGTATGTATGATGATTATGTAGAAGGGCTTTGTGGGAAGGGGTGTGTTGTATTTTAAAATAAATTTTATTGGTGATTTTGGGTGTGTTGCCCCAAATGGTTATTTTGCTTCAGAGGCATTTACTTGGTAAATTAGCTAGTTGTAGCATGAGAATTTATTGTTGAATTTACCTTGTGCTGATTTTAAAAGATGCTAAGCAATCAATACTATATGCAAACTTGGCTGACCATCAATCAAGTTATTGCAGTTTCATAAGCCTCACTAGTTTTGCAAAACTTTCACCAATCCTTCATACTTGGCCTTGGGCTAAAGATTTATCAAGCATATTTTATGAACTGGGATAGAATAAAACAAAATCATGAAAAAGTGCATCTCGTTAATTCAAATTTAAGTTAAAATCAAGTTACAAATCAAACTGTTGTATTGACTGCCTGACAAAGGTTTTGAAATGAAACTGAAATACAGCAGTTATATCCCTTTGTGTTATACATTGAATTTCGGTTTTACAGCATCACCAGTTTGATAATTTAGAGGGATAACATTCATATAATGCATCTTATGATTTCGTGATCCCTAATTATCGAGGTGCCAATGCTGCAGCTTACAATTGAACATTCTTTTATATTCATGTCTTGAAGGTTAAGACAACACCAACTAATGCATCATTTTACATTGCCTGCTTGGTCAGCAATACGTAAGTCGTTTACCATACACAGTGAATATGACTTATACTGTTGCCAAAGATTATTATGAAACATCTAATGCATGTTCATTAGCTTTAGAAAAAACATTGAGCAAGATAGTTATTTCAGTTTTATCTTATGACAATTTTAATGATGTTTTTACAGAAACAGACATGGCATCACCGTGATAGAGCTGGCCAACCTATCTAATATGCACTCGACATCTCAAATACAAAGTAAATCAGATAGAAGGCGGAGATTGAAAGTCAAATTTGTAAAATAAACATTCTCAAACACTAATTCAACCCATAGGTATGAAGGATATTTCATTAAATTGGTATACCTTTAGATCATCGCTATGCATGCGCATACAATGTAGGTAATGTATGGCCAAGCCAATGAGATTTTAATAAAAACGTGAGAAATATTCTTTCCGTTTGACAACTGACAACAATACTTAGACTATGGATTTGCCAGAGGGAGAGCGATGTCTTAATGTAAATGTTATTGCTCAACATAAAACTTTCCATAAGGCCATGGATAGAAGGTTTTAGTAATAGAGTCCTTAAGTGGTGACGTCACGTTTCCATGGTGCTAAAAATCTCAGTTCCAAACAAGCGCCCATTCGATTCAAAATGGAGACATTATCCATTGCTTCACTTTTTTCTTTCTTCTCAGAAGAAAAGAAATCTATAAAAAAGGGAGAAAACCACTTAAGTCAGATCACATTGAAGCATTTACTTACCAGCAGAGTGTTTTATGAGGAGAAGTACACACAAGAATGAAACAAAAGGTTTATAAAGTGACGGTGAATGCCAAATGTCAAGATTAAGTTTTACACTGTTCTTGTTGCCCAAATGAACACGAGGGCGTGATTTTCTCTTTTAGTGAAATAAAAAAGGCTTTTTAATGAACGATTTGTTTTAAAAAATAATGATACTCGTCGGTTTTCAGTCCTCAAATTGACCTACCACTACGAGTTTGGTGCGAGGGAGTTGTGGTAACAGGCTATACATATATTTGCCTTTTTATTAATAAACACATGAATAACATGGTATTTAAAAGAAAATGGAAATATGGTACATCATTTAATGTTGCTTTCCTGGGGGGAAGGGAAATTCCCATATAAAAGTGATGGGATGCTCATGGGAAATGTTCAGTAAGACTCCTTAAGGGTAACTGTGGGCAGTACTTGCTTTTATTTTTATCCCCAAAAAGACATCCTATTGTAAAACATGCGTCAAAACTTCTTTTAACTTCTGTTCTCCTAAACATGATAAAAGAATTCTCGCAGTGATCTAATTTGACACCCTATGTACACCCAGGCTGTACCAGATGATAAATATTGTAATCCCTAGGAGGTAAAATCATCCATTTACTGTTATATTAGAATGCTCCCCCCCCCCACCTCTAGCTGTATTTTCTTCTAAGTAAGCCTCAGTCTACAAATTATTTTATTTCTATTTGAACAACACTAATTATTAAAAAACTGTCCAATGTAGTCTTCAAGCATAAAACTACTCAAAAACCATATCTTCACATCCCTCTTTGATGAGAGGAAATTGCAAATTTACAAGTGCTGCACATAACACACAAGTCTTTCGACATGAATCCGTGCTTTAGCTATGGCTTTTGTTTTCTTGACCTCACTCTGTGAAAGTTACATTATTCAGAAAAGGTGGAATATTGACACAGACACCATGTGGTACAACATCCTGGATAAGGAAACCCTTGTCCGCCAGAATCATATCTCCAGCTGTCAAGTGATTAAGGAGTCCAGACTGTTGCACAATGGCCTTGTCTGAAATAGAACCTGGATACAGCCGACTGACATTAGTAATGACTCCATTTGGTGCAACACCAACTATTTCCTTAAAGGAATTCATTCCTCTGTATGATAAATAGGTTGCATTTTGCTGACTCATCAATCCCAGTGCAGCAACCTCAATATCTGTGCAGTCTATAACAATCCGAAAGGATTCAAATTGCCTGAAAGAGGAGGGTGCAGAGATCTTGTTTTTTTCCCGGGATGGAATCGACGTCATTAGGTCAAATAAAATTTCATGCAAAACATGAGTGAATGTTATAACTATGTAAGAAATTGTGGCTACACTACAATGAAACAATTGGGTTAGGTGAAGCTGTGTGTAGTTCTGTCGTACTTTCATTAAAGTGAAAAAAATTTGATCCTCAAAATTGATGGATTATACCTCCCAAAACACTAAGATTTAAGGTTTTGGCTACGGAAAATACAAAGCGACCGTTAAAAAGACAACTAGCTGAAGCTTCTATAATTCAGTATTCGATGATTCTCCCTCATGTCCTGATGTCAACTCTTCACGTGAATAGAGTCCGTAAATCTCACTTAAAATCTCGTAATTCATCAAATGTTCACTGATTAAGTAATTCTTTTTAAATATCAGTTCACATACCTTATGAGTCGAATCCATCTCTTATACTCGTCGTGGAAAAGCGAAGAACTTGCAAGTGTTGTCCTCCGACGAATGGCCACATGTAGGAGCAAAACAGTAAACCATTTTGCCCGTTTGACCCGCGTCCTTTACACTTCTTCGACGAAAGTTGATCCCTTGGATGACCCTTTAACCTTTCCTGTTTTTTTTATTGTCGTTTGTGGGATTACACTGGATAACTAAAGCTTTAGACATTCAAAACAAAAAAGCGTGTCCAAATCGCTCGCATAAGATATTTTGTTTAGAACTGCATTTTTTAGCGCCATGGTAACGTGACGTCACACTTAAGGACTCTATAGTCTTTAACTTTAAAACATCATGTGACTGAAATGCATTCTACATAGGAAGTTCAAAAAAGTATATCTAATTACACAATAAATATTTACAGAGATTCTCCATTCAAACCCACTATAATAATAATGAAGACTTTATTTGAAGAGGGGGACACGTAACAGCTGAAAAGCTGACTAACCTGTGGCCCTCTAACTAGATTATACAGAATTGCAAAAAACTGATAAATGAATAAATGTATAAATAATTACAAAATTCTATGATAGAAATAGCAGGACATATTAAAAATATTCAGAAAGATAAAATTAATTTTTAAAAAATTAAAATTAGATAATGTGCTATTGCTTAATATTGTTTCAAAGTTATCCAGGTTTTATATGAGCTTATAAAATGCTTTTTCATAGCTGTTTGAATAGTTTTATACCAGGCTTTTTTTTAATATCATTTTTTTAATATAACCTAACCCTAACCATACATCCTGTGTCCCAAGTGCAGGAGTCACCATTGCACTATGGTGATAGCAGGGAGGGCAAATTGTTTACACACTTTGTGTATATACACTTGTTTATATATGATTTATAAAAACATGTGGATACAGAAAGAAAACAAACAAAACTACAGCATCAACAGGGACTTCATCAAACAACTTCCATCTCTGAACAAAAACCAAAAAACCTGCCATGTTTGTTTTGAAAAAAGACTACAAATCCTAAAAGGACATAAAAAGAAAATTTTAAATAAACGCTCTGAACTTTTTAGTGCATGCCGTCATTAATTTAACACCTTGTAACGAATTGTATATACAGTGAATAATAAATTATCTGTCTTTGCCTGAAGATTGCCCTACTGCGTGAAACTCCGAAAAAATTACAGCTATTGTCTATTTTATACATATAATTTAACAAATTACATTTCTCAAATTGTTGCTACTCGGGGAGTCTGGGTTTCATGCCAAAACAATCTTCAGGCAATGTATCGTCTTCTTACGTTAAATACTATTTGTTAAAAATGCTACCTTGCAGGAAAACCTTTATGTGGCATTAGAAGTACACAATGTATGCCAGGAAATATTTGAAATAGATAACAATATAAATGAAGTTGATTCAGAGGAAGAGGAAAATATGGATGTGGTTTGTAATATCTGAGTATGACGTTGAAATAATTAAATTAATTTTTTAAAATGTTATTTCTAAAGTAATTATATTTTGGTCTTTTTTAGGTTGATGAAAACGAATCTGTTAAGGAACAAGAAGAGGGAGAGAAATCTCACCTGTCATGGGAAACTTGCGTAGCTGAATTAAACATATTAGCTAAAAATGTTAACCACTACAGATTCATCGTCATATTGTCAACTACAGATTCATAGTCAAGTGGATGTGTCATGGCGGACATTTATTTCTTTGTGCTGTGATAAATGTTCAAAATTTTTTTCGTATTTTGTCATTTTTGTATTATATTTAGTCTTTCTATCATGGCTCAAAAAATCAATATCACAAAGAAGGAATTTGAATCAATCTCTGATGCAAATTGAAGCCAATTAATGACTCTAACCATGAGATGATCGATTCTATGAAATTCTTAAATTTATGCTTTGAAGAAATAAAACAAAAGGTTGAAAATTTGGAGTCCACCTTGCAAAATGTCATAAAGGAAAATCATTCTTTAAAACAAGAAACGACAAGACTTTCTAGTGAGAATGCAAAACTTTTGAATCTTGTTAAAGATTTATCTAAAGGCCCGTTTAAACGATCCAACAATGTTGGACCAACATCGTACAACAATGTTGGATCAACAAAGTTGGATCGTTTAAACACCATGTTGGACGATGTTGGAAAATGTTGGACGATGTTGGATGGCTTTTGAATTCTATCAAAAACGTCCAACATTGTTGGACTGGGGCATGCGCGTTATGAATATGTTCACATTCATAATTCATGTATGCATGATTGTCTGCGAATTACCATCTACTTCGATATAATTATGGAGGAGATTGAGGATTATAATTTCGATGCAGAGCAATCAGAAGAAAACAATATTAGTTCTAAAACAAAAGCACGGAAAGAAAGCTGTAGGACTACAAATAATACAAAGCGAAAGGAGCGCCAAAAATGGCCAAAATGGAGCGAATCTGACATCCAACAATTAATAGATATGCTTGAGGAACGATCTTGTCTTTGGGACGTATTCTGTGAATTCCAATAATGCAAGCTGGGAAAAGCAGAGATAATATGCCACGACAAACTTCAACTCCAGATTCTGTGTTTTCAACTGATAGAGATAGTAGTTTTGAGGGAAGTCCCAGTGAATTTCAAGGGTGTGAAACCCCTGTTACATCTGGAGCTTGTGCATCAATTTCATCTTCCGGGCCATCAAAAAAATCTTCAAGAGCTACAAGTGAAGCAAAAGAGGTTGAGATCCTAGAAACTTGTGTTAAAATTTTAAAGGAGCCAGTTGTGCCACAAACAGATCAAAAGAAATGCTACTTTGCTATGTATATTTCAGAGAAGTTGGACAAATTTGACAGCAGGACTAGGATGATAGCAGAAAAGAAAATAAATGACATAATTTTTGAACTTGAAATGCAGTCAAGTGCGCAATCTTTCCTGCCTATAATCCATCATCAGGATAGAGACATTGGTGTTCCAATGAACCAAGGATCCTTTATGGGAATGTTTAATACTAATTCACAATGTTGAAATATTATTTGTATGATCTCGACTACATTAAATGAACAGAACAAACTGCAAAATATTTGTTATTCATGTTTATACCTATTTTATAAAATTCATCTTATTATTGGCTATTGGGTAAAAAATGTCAACATATGCAAAATTAAAATTGAAAAAAAAAGGAAACCCATCAAAAATACTGAAACTAATTGCTTTTTCTAGAGTTCGGATATCTGAAAGAGATCAAAAAACAAATTTAGACTGCAATTTAAGTGACAGCATCAAAGAGAGGATTTTTAGATAGAAACATCAATTTGTTTACTTAGGGAAGAAATTGAATAAAAAACTTGTCTTAGAGAAAGAATAGAATAAGGCATGTACCAAAGCTTTTAGAATGCAACAATATTCAATTTATGTTCTTCACCATGACTTGTAAATTAAATTCATAAATGGCAATTTTCCAATGTGCTTTTATGTAAAAAGCTTTGTAAAACTTACTTTTCATTTAAGGCTAGGATCTTAAACAATTAAATTGTACCAAAAAGCTTTACTAGTTTACTACAATGAAATTGCACCAAAAAGCTTTACTACTATGGATAGTTTGAGGTACTATATTGTCAGTTACCGTTCTATGTCAACATTTTCATAGTTCACAAGATGGTAAATGGTTAACTTTTAAATTGAATTCCACTGCCATTCAACTGCTCCTTCATTGCAGAAATATTCCTTGAAGTTATCTCTAATGTTCTTTGCTTCGGTTGTAGCATTGTGACCTGTTGGTGGTACAGATAATGGAAGAAATGACTCAGAATGGTTGTCATTGTGCCACTGACCAGGAATCAGTTCTCCCTCACTTGTTTCATTATCTGTAATTCCTACAGGACAGTAAATACTGTAGGATGTACTCTTTCTGAGGTAGTTGTGCAATATTGCAGCTAAAACCAGATCTTCAATGGCTCTAGGTGAAAGCAAAAGCACAGACATGAAAACACGCCATCTGTTGGCTATAATTCCAAAAAGATTCTCTGACACTCTTCATGCACGACTGTGTCTGTAGTTGTAAATTCTCTTGTCATCTGTAAGGCCGTGTTGGGGGTAAGGTTTCATCATGTGTTTTTGCAATGCAAAAGCATCATCACCAACAAATACATGAGGCACTTCAACCATCCCTAAAGGTAACAACTTTGGTGGAGGAAGAGACACTGCACCATCTTCTATTGCCTTGGAAAGTCCACACTTTTTCCAGACTCTGTCATGAGTTATTGATTAATTTGTAATTTGAGTAGTCTGAATTCAGTCTAATAAAGACACGAGGCACAATCATTACATGGTGTCAGATGGAGAAATTTCGACCCCCAGATCCACTCATATTCGAAGGAAATTTATCAGATTTATGGGATAGATGGAAACAACAATTCGAGCTTTATCTGGTAGCTACAGAATCACACGAGAAAACAGAAGATATCAAGACGTCAATTTTCCTAACATGTATCGGGAAGCACGGCATAGAGATCTACAATACATTTACGTTCTCTGACGAGGCAGACAAATTGAAATTGAAACCAGTATTGGAGAAGTTTGAAGCATATTACAAGCCGAGAAAAAATATCACTCTACTTCGACACAATTTCCTTACGCACAAGCAACATGATGGGGTGACATTTGATGCCTTTGTCACCGAGCTAAAAAGACGAAGTGCACAATGTGAATTTGGCGACCTTAGAGAATCACACATCAGAGACATGATAGTAATCGGGGTCTCAGACAACCCGCTTAGAGAGCGACTGTTAAGGACGGAGACTCTGACTCTAGAAAACGCAATAAAAATTGGTCAGGCATCAGAAGCAACAAAGCAACAAGCAATGACATTAAGCAGACCACACACCGGAAACCAGAACAATGTCAACGAACTACGCACGAAATCTAACAATACAAGGCGCCCACGACAACAAAGCGCATATACTTCAGCATCTTCGCAAGCTCGCAGCAATTGTAAATACTGTGGCGAAATTCACCAACGAGGAAAATGTCCTGCATATGGGAAAACATGCTCGAAGTGTCATAAATTGAATCACTTTGCCTCTGTTTGCTTATCTACGTCCCGCAGCGTACATTATACCACGGAAGGTCATGAAGGTCACGATTACGAGATCGCAAGCGATGCCAATAACATTTTCATAGGAACTCTCTCAACGGAAGTGACAGACAACTCCGTCAATACGGCTAATATTACGCAAGATGGAAATCGTGACTGGATTATCTCTCTGCGATCTAATGAAAGTGTCACGCGGTTCAAAATTGACACTGGAGCTCAGGCTAACGTCATACCAATGGGAACAATTGAGAAACTAGCAACTAGACCGCATATTGAGAAAACTAATACAACGTTGACAGCATATAACGGAATGAATATTCCAGTGGTTGGAAAATGCACGCTAAACATTCAACATAACAATCAAACCCACGCAATACCGTTTGTTGTTGCAAACACTACTTCACTGCCACTAATTGGGTTACAAACCAGCATCGACCTCAATCTTATAAAGCGAGTTTGGACCGTAAATGCTAAAACACCAAACTTCATACAAGAGTACAAAGATGTTTTTGGAGAACTTGGATGCCTAAAGGGTGAACATCACATTAGCATTGACCCCAATGTAACGCCAGTAGTTCATCCACCTCGAAAGATTCCAATATCACTTATGGAACGTCTCAAAGCTGAGTTAAAACGCATGTGCAAGCTTGATGTCATAGAGAAAGTTGACGAACCAACCGATTGGGTCAGCTCCATGGTAGTTGTAGAAAAGGACAATGGCCAGTTACGTATCTGTCTTGATCCTAAAGATTTGAACACTGCCATAAAACGTCATCATTATCCTATGCCTACAGTGGACGAAGTCCTATCCAAACTGGGCGGTGCCACCATATTTACAAAGCTTGACGCATCCAGCGGTTACTGGCAAGTTAAAGTCGACGAAGCCAGCTCGAAACTACTTGCATTTAACACGCCATTTGGACGATATTGTTTTAAGCGCCTAGCATTCGGGATTCACAGTGCCGTTGAAGTGTTTCAGAAGAAAGTTGCTGAAATCATTGATGGTATACCGAATGCGGCAAACGACCAAGATGACATCATAGTCTTTGGTAGGAACAAAGAGCAGCACGACAAAGCACTAAAGGACATACTTGACAGAGTAAGAAAGTCTGGACTTAAACTGAATGAAAAGAAATGTCGCTTCGGGTTTCCGAGACAACCTTCTTAGGACATGTAATCACTGCAGCAGGCATTAAGCCAGATCCTAGAAAAATAGAAGCAATAATCAACATGCCCATGCCTAGCAACAAAGTCGAAATTCAACGTTTTCTCGGTATGGTGACGTACCTCGGAAAGTTTTTACCGCGCCTATCTGATGAGACAGCGCCGCTAAGACAACTACTTGAAAAAGACGTCGTCTGGCATTTCGAAACGAAACACCATCAAGCCATAGAAAATCTAAAATACCTCGTCACCAGCAGTCCAGTGTTAACCTACTTTAATCCAAAACATTCCATTAGGATCACAGCTGACGCCTCTAAATCAGGTCTAGGTGCAGTACTCGAGCAATTAGAAGAGAACACATGGAAGCCCGTCGCATATGCTAGTAGAGCAATGACCCAAAGTGAGCAAAACTACGCACAGATAGAAAAAGAGACATTGGCAATTGTGTTTGCATGCGAGCGCTTCCACGAATACACCTACGGCAGACCAATCACGGTACGTTCAGACCACAAGCCACTCAAAGCAATCTTTTCAAAACCACTATGCAGGGCTCCTCTGCGCTTGCAAAGACTACTGCTCAGGCTCCAGCGATATGACCTAAGTGTTGACTACACACCAGGAACGGACATTCCCGTTGCAGAGGCTCTTAGCAGAGCATACCTGGAAAGTAAACCCACACCAGAGATATCGGAGCAAGACATGAACTGTCATGTGCACTCAGCTCTGCACAACCTGCTAGTATCAGATTCCAAGCTACTAGAATTTAAACTCGAGACTGCTAAGGATCCTACTCTTCAAGAGCTGAAAAACATAATTGTCAATGGTCTTCCATCCAACAAACAACTCATCCCTGATGCTGTCAAGCCATACCTGACATTTATCGATGAAATATCAGAAGCTGAACGAATCCTCCTTAGATCAAACCGTATCATAGTACCCTCCTCAATGAGACGTGAGATGAAAGCAAGAATTCACGAGGGACACTTAGGAATTGAACGATGCAAAACAAGAGCAAGAGAAGTGATCTTTTGGCCAGAGATGGCTACAGAAATATCTGAGATGATTTCCCGCTGTGAAACATGCCTAGAATCAAGAAAACGACAGCAACGCGAACCACTTATGCCACTACCACCAGCTCATCACGCCTGGAGCAGAGTAGCATGCGACTTATTCTACATGAATGGCAAGGACTATTTACTAATTGTCGACTACCATACTAGTTTTCCAGAAGTAAGTCTACTTTCAGAAACTACCTCTGCCGGAATAATCAAGCACACAAAGTCAATATTTGCAAGACACGGTATACCAGACACAGTAGTCACAGACAATGGACCACAATTCGCTTCGAAGGAATACCGAGACTTCGCCAAGCAATGGGAATTTCAACACGTCACCTCAAGTCCTGTTCATCCGAGGTCCAATGGCAAAGTCGAGCGCACAGTACAAACAGTCAAGACCCTCTTGAAAAAGCCATTAAGTCTGGTGATGACCCATACCTAGCCCTACTTAACTTCAGAGCCTGCACAAGCCCTGACGGTACTCCAGCTCCAGCAGCCATGTTAATGAATAGGAAACTAAAGACTCGCCTACCCTCAATAGAGACCCAAGAAATCTCCAAGAAATCTATAATACAGAAACAGTACTACGATAAGCATACAAAAACTCTCCCTGAGATTTCAGATGGTTCAAATGTTCGTCTTCACGATGGCAAAGGCTGGAAAATAAAAGGACAGGTGATCCGGAAGGCAGAGACACCAAGGTCATATATTGTTCAAACTGACACCGAGGCCAATTGCGAAGGAACAGGCATGATATATTAGTCACTCCTGAACCTGCTGAGAATTCCCAACCAGAAGAAGTTGAAGAGCCTCATGTGCACCATAGTGAGCCTGAGGACACAAGAACAAGCGAGGATGAACATTCTACTCCACCCAGCTACGCTTATGTGACCCGCTATGGCAGGACTGTAAAACCACCAACTAGATTTGGCCAAGATACCTAAGTTACTTATAGAACATTGTCACTTAGCTAATCCAACATATAGATTACAATCTTATTACAGTTAAGTGTTAGATTAATCTCAGAAGGGAAGATGTCATGAGTTATTGATTAATTTGTAATTTGAGTAGTCTGAATTCAGTCTAATAAAGACAAGAGGCACAATCATTACAGACTCCACCATCCGAAACTCTTCCATTTGTTCCAACATCAGCATAGATGCATTCATAATCAGGTCCAGCTATAGCCATGAGTACAATGGAATGAGTATGCTTATAGTTGTAGTAATAGGAGCCCACATTCGCAGGTGGCTGCATCACAATGTGCTTCCCATCTATAGCTCCAATACAATTTGGATAGTTCCACCTTTCTTCAAACTTAGAAGCTATTTCAAGCCATTGCTCATTGGTTGAGGGAACTTTGAAAAATTTTGGTCCAAGATGCTTAATTATGGCCTTGCCAACTTCTTTAATAATGTATGATATTGCAGGCACACATACTCTGAACTGGAAGCTCATACTTCGGAATGTTTCACCTGTGGCCAGGAATCTTAAAGTTAATGTTAATCTTTCTGGGGAAATTACTCTTTGCCCTCCGTTGATTCTCTGTGGAGTAATGAGCGATGCAATCTCTTGAAGTATGTATTTAAAATCTTTATATGACATTCGCATCATTTCAATCTGACGCAGTGTCTTCCATCATCAATTCTCTAACGATAGTATTAAAGTAACCCATCTCTCCGCGTCTTTTAATCCATCGACGAGTTTTTCCACGAGTGGGCTTCTTTTCTTGCTCGTCAAGACTGATGAATGTAGCAAAAGCTGCAGCAAGTTTTCGCTTTTTAAATGCGTCGACCATGTTGATGTAATTGTCATTGACATAAAACCAGTGAACTATAGTTGACAGTTCACTGCATAAAACTACTCATGTATCCCACAATTCATTTGTAGTTAAATGCTGGTCCAACATTGTTGGATCCGTACGTGGATCGTTTAAACACAACCGTCCAACATTATCCAATGTGCATCCAACAATGTTGTACGATGTTGGTCCAACATTGTTGGATCGTTTAAACGGGCCTTAAAGAACTTAATGATGTCCAGCAATATGAACGTAGAGATTGCTGTGAAATAACCGGTATTCCTGTCGAACAAAATGAAGTTACTTATAACTTAGTCGAGTTGGCTCATTAATAGACCTAAAACTGGATGCGGAAGTTATTTGTTTCTCATCGCTTGCCTATAAGAAGCGAACCTTATACTTCTAGTTCACGAACCAAAGTAACCACCAGAACCGCCGATCGAAATATTGATCCTGCTCTCCATCATCCAAAAATTATTGTGAAATTTGTCTTAAGGGAAACAAAGGAACTATTTTTTAAAAGCCGCAAAAAGTGGAATGGGATAACAACAAAAGATCTTGGATTAGCTAGGATTTCTGACAACAAAATATATATCTCGGAAAGCCTGACTCCAAAAAACAAAGAACTTTTCAAGGCGTGTTTGAAATATCACTGAGAGAATAACTTTAAGTTTATATGGACGAACCAAGGATGTGTCTATTTGAGAAAAAACACAGACTCACCATCAAGGAAAATCACCAGCTTGGATGATTTGAGATATGGATAAAATCTCAAATTCGAGATAAGTCATGTGATATTCTATCCTAAAATTTTTTTTAAGTATATTACTCTCCTGATAGACTAGTGATGTCCAAAGCTGCTAATAGTATCACCAATGTTTATTCAGCTAGTGCCATTAGCTGTCGTTCTTCAAAAAGAGATGATTACCTTAATGAACTACCTAGACTAGAATTGATCACTCATTTGAATGATTTCCCAGATGTGAATTGTGTTGACACTGATAATAATGATTTTTCTAGTGTAAACTTAAATTATTATACGAGCCATGAGTTTCATAGTAATATACTTGATAAAAATGCTGTTCCTAATTGTGAGTTTTCTATATTACATTGTAATATTTGCAGCTTGTCAGCTAATTTTGACCGTCTGCAAATATTGTTAACAGAGCTTCGACATAATTTAAATATTGTTGGATTGACAGAAACTAGGATAAAACATAATAGATGTAATTAGTAATATTTTTACTCCTGGATACCAGTTTGTTTTTCAACCTACCCTTTCTGAAGCTGGAGGTGTAGGAATTTATATAAAGGATGATACGAAATTTAACTTAAGAGATGATTTGAGTCAAACTACTAATGATTTTGAGGCTTAAAGGATAGAGATGCACTGCAAAACACGTAATTTGGTCTGTGCTGTGATTTATTAGACACCCTAATGGTAATCTAGCAAATTTTTCAAACTACTTTTATGCTGCTACTAGTAAAATTTCCATTGAATGTAAACTATGTTCTATTATGGATGACTTTAACCTAAATCTATTGAACTTTGAATCGCACAATCCAACTGGCGAGTTTATTAATACACTAGCATCATATTTTTTTAAACCACATATAACTAAACCTACCAGAATAACTAATTACTCTGCAACACTCATTGACAATATCTTTTTAATTCAATTGAATTTGACACAATCAGTGGTAACTTGTTATGTAATTTGGCAGATCATCTGCCAAATTTTCTAATAATCAAGAAATAGCCACACTCTACATCTAAAAGTGTGATTTAAAAGAGGGATTATTCTATGTTTGATAGAGAAAGATTATTGGCAGAGGTTCAGAGTATCAATTGGCAGAAAATATTTTCAAATGACCATGATGTTGATTCTATTTTTCATTCTTTTTATACTAATATAACTGAAGTCATTGATAAACATATTCCAATAAAAAGACTCTCAAAAAGGGAATTCAAATTACAAACAAAACCATGGATTACTAAAGCCATAAGGGTCTCTATTGCTAGGAAGAATATCCTTTATAGGAAATATATAAAATTTAGAAATGACTATAATTTAACTAAATTTAGGCATTACAGAAATAAACTGAAGCATTTGTTGCAAATAAGCAAAAAAATGTATTATTGACTATTTTGCAACAAACAATTGTAATCGCAAAGAGACATGGAAAGGAATTAAACAAATAATCAATTTTAAGACTAAGTCAGTAATAGCTCCTACTACTCTTGACATTAACAATGCAAAAATAACTGACAAAATCACCATTGCTAATGCTTTTAATGATTACTTTGTTACTATTGGTCCAAAACTTGCTGCTAAAATTCCTAGGGTGGACTCTACATTTGATAAATTTATGCCAAATTCTTTAGCTAATAGCTTTGTACTTTTCCGTGTGACAACCAACGAAATTGAATGTATTATTGGTAAATTGAATGCTTCTAAATCAACAGGCCTTTTAGTATTCCAGTTAATATTTTAAAATTGCTAAAGTACTTAGTGTCTGTACCATTTGAGATTTTATTTAATTATTCATTTTCTACTGGCATGATTCCAAACAAATTATAAACAGCGAGAGTAATTCCCATTCACAAGAACGGTGACAGAGCGGACATATCGAATTATCGTCCAATCTCTTTGCTTTCAATTTTTAATAAAATTATGGAAAAACTAATGTATAGTAGACTGGTTGAATTCTTTCAAAAATATGAGATATTTTTTGAGGGTCAATTTGGCTGTTAATCCAATCATTCTACTGTCCATGCCCTTTATCTTATTATATATAAAATTCAGGGAGCTATCGAAAATAAACTTTTTTCTTGTGGTATTTTCCTAGATTTAGCTAAGGCCTTTGACACTATTAATCAGAATATCTTGATTAGAAAACTGGAATACTATGGAATTAGGGGTATAGCCTTGAAATGGTTCTACTCATATTTAACTGACAGATCTCAATTTGTTTTCATTAATAATACTGCATCTGACACTAAACTTATTCCTAGTGGTGTTCCTTAGGGTTCTGTACTAGGTCCTCTACTCTTTCTTTTATATATTAATGACTTTTGCAACTGTGCCCCTCAGCTAAATTTTCATCTTTGCAGATGACTCAAATTTTCTTTGCTGTGATAGAAGCTTAATAGATACGGAAATTAAAATAAATAATCAACTGACTTTTGTTAGTGAATGGCTTTCTGCTAATAAACTATCTCTCAATGTAGATAAGTCATTTTACCTTCTCTATCCTCCTTCCCAAAAAAATTGTAGTAAAAAGTTAAATATTTTGATAAATGGAATACAAATTAAGGAAAAACAAAGTATTAAGTATTTGGGAGTTATTATCGATAGAAATCTTAAATGGAAAGATCATGTACATGAGCTTTCAAAAAAAATTGCTAGGAATATAGGTATTCTATCAAAATTGAGACATTTTGTTGAAGAAAAGACCTTAATTCAATTGTACTACGCTATCATTTATCCTTTTCTTATTTATGCAGTGGCAGTTTGGGAAATAATTACAAATCTATTTTAACTCCATTGATTATTTTGCAAAAAAAAGCTGAGCGAATAATTACTTTCTCCAAATTTGATGAACATACCACTCCTCTGTTCAAGAAACTAAATTACTAAAATTTCAGGATTTTGTCTATCTCAAGACAACCTTGTTTTTACATAATTTTTACAATTCAAAACTTCCAAAAAATTAAATGATTTCTTTAATCTAGTAGTGGAGCAGCACAGCCACAATACTAGGTTAGCTTCTAAGGCAAATTATTCTCTACCTTTAGTTTGTACCAATTAGGGAAAATTCAATATACGGTTTATTGGAACTAAGATATGGAACAGTGTTGATGAATCTCTTATTCTTATTTCAAAAAGAAACTAAAACTTCGATTAACTGATAAGTATGAATGTCAAATGAATTGTGTGATTCAAAGTTTGGTTATATTTATATTTATATATATTCTTATATTTGCATATTTTTTTCTTATGACCCTACATCCATGTGTACAACTGTATTTATATGAATCGTGTTAATCTTCATTTACTTTTCTTTATTTTATGTCAAATTATACATGTCAAACAGCATGTCAATCATCAACAAGCTATGTTAATTAACGTGTAATATAGTTATTTAGTTAATATTATTGTAACTATTTTTTTTTGTTCCATAGAAAGATGAAGTTATTATTTACTATTTATAAATAATAGCTCTTATCTCCAATTAGTATAACTATATTATATTATCTTTATTATATAAAACATATTATATTATTCTAAAGTCACCAGTCTCTATGGTTAAGGCAGTTGCACATTCAGCACACTTGATGCAACTTGTAATTTTCTTGGCTATGTATCCACTAATATAGGTCAGTACATCGTCATGCCAAAGAGTGGAACTGTTTAATAATGCTGCAACTCTCCTATCAACATTTTGTGTCTATTCAGCTAGCTTGCTTTCACTTACAACAGAGCAGTTGCTGGGGCTGTCACTTCATTCTTTTGTAGCAGTGCTCGGAGTGCCCACTTAAACTGTAGAGCATTTGGATTGTTATTCCATCCCATACAACTTCTCAATTTAAGACAACACTGATGCTTAGCGAGACTTAAAGATAATATGTAAATTCTCGCGTTTTTTTATGGAAATGTTAGCCAGGACCAGGCTGCCTCGTTTATTAGAGCAGAAAAACCATAGGTGTATGGCAATTTTCTTTACTAGTAAAGTTTCATGTATTGAATAATGAAATATCAGTAGTTTACTTATCTTTGTACGTAAGTGTCATCAAAATGAACCAACTGAG